CTTTCGTTGTATTTTTTATTTATTTATTTATTTTTGTGGTTTGCTGGTTTTGGGCACATTGTGATTAATTAATTAATTAATAATTTAAATTTTTTTTTTATAATTTTTTGCTGTGGTTTGCTGGTTTTAGGGCCTTGGGCAGTTGTTTTATTTTATTTTTTTAATTGTGACGAGGTCAGTTTTTGTTTTTATTTTATTTTTTTATTTGTTTTTATTCTGACGAGGTCAGTTTTTATTTTATTTTCTATTTATTTTTTTATTCTGACGAGGTCAGTTTTTATTTTATTTTATTTAATTTTTTTATTTATTTTATTCTTTTATTTTTTGTGATTTTTTTTCTCATTCCAGCTGTTATAATATATTATTATATTATATTATCCGATATAACAGATTTATTTTTACTCTGGTAAACCGTATTTTCCCGTGGATTGTACATCCTCTGGCTAAATTGGATGAGCGTGAGATTGCGGCGCGGCTCTGATTTATTCATGAGAACTAAGCTAACACGTCGGGTGTCAAAGAAAACAATCTAAAGGCGAAGATTGGACAGTGGCTCAGCTATTGATAGCTGGGGTCTGTTGAGAGACGCGCGCCGCAGCTTTAGATATTAATCTGAGCCACCGCTGAGACTCATTTCACTCAGAAAATGCAGCTGCGTTTAAATGCGTGCCGCTAACAAACACAAGTTTTCGCGGCAAGGAAATCAATTCATTTTGCATGGCGAGCGGTTAATAATGATTGACGGCGACCGACAGACGAAGCTGAAGCGTGTTTGAGCGCGCGACTGCATTATTCATGAAAGGAAAACGTTTATCTGCGGGTGTTTGCAAATCACAGAATCACAGACTGAGCAGAGCATTGTGGGTAATTCCTCCGGACAATCACTGTAGAAAGAGACACACATGCAGGAAATGATTCCGGTTTGACACAGGAAGTGACAGTCGCGGATCAGACTCGGACGGTCAGACTGGTTTTGCTGTCAGCTATCTTTTGCAGGAAAAATTAGCTCATGACATGTTTTTGTAGCCTCTCTGGCTGCCTTTGTAGGCATCATTTTAAGGGCTCATGATGAGGCTGCTCCACATTATGTATCTGTAGAAATTCCCACAATGCACTGGGTTTGCAAGATGCAAGATGGTCCTCAGAGTAAAAGTAATGTTGATAAATATATGTGTAATTCATTCAATACTGAAAATAATAATTAAAATAGTTTTATTCTAATTAAATTAAACTATTTATTATTAAATTATTTAGTAATTAAATAAAAAAT